CCAAAACATTAAAAATAGAGCAGATGATCCAGCAGTCTCAATTGGGGTATACATCCAAAAGAATTGAAAGCAGGGTCTCAAAGATATGTTGCACTCCCATTTTGTAATAACACCACTCAAGTCAAAAGGTGGAAGCTACCCATTTATCAGACCCATTAATAGATAAACTGAGATAGATACATAATAATGGAATACCATTCAGCCTTAGTAAGGAAGAAAATCCTGTCTCAAGCTGCAAAATGGATAAGCCTGGAAGATATTAAGCTTAGAGAATTAAGCCAATCACAAGGACAATTACTGCATAATTCTACTTATATGGATTATCTAAAGTAATCTAACTCCAAAACAATGTAAAAGGTGGTTCCCTGGGATGGGGCAGGAAAAAATGGGGAGCTGTTCAATGGGTATACAGTTTTAGTCATGCAAGTTCCAGAGATCTGGGATACAACATTGTGCTTATTGTTAGTATTGTGATATACATTTAAAAGAGGATAATTTAACAATAAAAAAGTGGGATCCAGATCCAACATCAAGTGAGTGTTCTGTAGCACAGTGCCCTTACATCTGCTAAGTGTTAAGTGATTTTTACAGCAAATCCAGTGGCTTTCTTTTATGGAGCATCATTCTTAAGATCTTAAACCCAATTCTTCTGAAGGGCCAATGAATCTCTGAGTAGTATAGCAGTTAGTCTTATAATGCACTATTTTATAGCAGCCTCAATCTGTTCATTTCTCTCAGGTTTTAAAAAGGGTAAAATTTATCTAATAGGTAAAATGTGGCAATTTATACTCTGGCTTAATAGCAATCAATGGGGTAGTCATTCTAATCATTTTTTAAATGCTTTTCAAAAAAAATCAGAAACGGGCCAGGTACAGTGGCTTATGCCTGTAATCCCAGCACTTTGGGAGGCAGAGACGGTGGATCCAGGGAATTTGAGACCGCCCTGGGCACTATGGTGAAACCTCATCTTTACTAAAAACACAAAAATTAGCCAGGTGTGGTAGCACACGTCTAATTCCAGCTACTGGGATGGCTGGGGTATATGAGAATCGCTTAGGCCTGGAAGGTGGAGGTTGTAGTGAGCTGAGATCATGCCACTGCACTCAGCCGGAGTCACAGAGCTGCCTCAAAAAATAAATCAACAGTATAAAAAAATTTAAAATTCAGAATTGAATGTTAACACTCAAGGTGTAGTAAGGGCCGGGCGTGGTGGCTCACGCCTGTAATCCCAGCACTTTGAGATGGGTAGATCACGAGGTCAGGAGTTCAAGACCAGCCTGGCCAAGATGGTGAAACTCCATCTCTAAAAAAAAAAGATGTAGTAAGACAATTTTTTTTAACAGTTAAAACATGTAAAATAAAGGAAACTAAAAGCAAGATACAACTGCTCTACACAGCCCTACAATAATCGTATAGCTTTTCTTTGATTACTGGCTATAATATAAATGGTGCTCAAAAGACTGAATAAGTTTTATTTTTCATTCTCGGTTAGCTGTCAAAAAGCCTGTTCTAAGCATCCCTCTTCAGCCCTAAGATTTCATTTTTATTTATTTATTTGTTAGAGGTGGGGTTTCACCATATTGGTCAGGCTGGTCTCGAACTCCTGACCTCAGGTGATCCACCCGCCTCGGCCTCCCAAAAGTGCTGGGATTACAGGCGTGAGCCACCACGCCCAGCCAGCCCTAAAATTTCAAAAGCCTTCTCGGAGTTGCTCTCCCAAATACATTGTATAAACACCAAAAGGCGGATAAAGTTACTTTCTTTTTTGATTGACAGTCTTGCTGTCACCCAAGCTGGAGTGCAGTGGCACAATCTTGGCTCACTGCCAACCTCTGCCGCCCAGGTTCTACTGATTCTCATGCCTCAGCCTCCGGAGTACCTGGGATTACAGGCGCACGACAGACCCCATGCCTGGAAGGCTTTTTTGTATTTAGTAGAGACCGGGGTTTCGCCACGTTGACCAGGCTGGGCTGGAACTCTTGACCTCTGGTGATCCACCCGCCTCGCCCTCCCAAAGTGTTGGGATTACAGGCGGGAGCCGCCGCGCCCGGCCAGATAAGATTATATTCTAGCCCCGGTTTTTAGAAATAGCTCTGAGAGAGACCTGAACCTCACTAGGCGGCAGCTGATTGGAGGTGAAGCCGTAGGAAGGGAATGCCTTCGCCCAGGCTCCGCCCCTGGTCCCAGCTAACCTGCCCTGCCCAGCCAGCCACACCCATTCTCACCGATCACCGCGCCGACAAAGTGGTTCTTCAAAGCGAAACATAGCGGCGGTTCCCCATGACCAGCGGCCACGGCGTTCAGGGGCCTAGAGGCGGCTCTCCAGCTGCCACCTCTGACGACCCTATATCCCTCCGGACCTCCTCGATTCAACTCCTCCGCCAACCTCCTTTCTGGCGCCCGGGACGCTGTCGAACTTCGTCGGCCAGCGACGACCCATGTAGAGGCCTTGGGGTCTTCTCCGTGTTGGGACATGGTTCCAAGAATGGTCGCGTCCGACGTCGTTGCTGTCCGGCTCTGCTCGACCTGACTGTGCCGTCGTAAGACTAAAGTGCCAGGGCAGCCACGCAGCAGCTACTTAAGGAGCCCGCACGAGGCCAGCCCCGCCCCCGATCCTCTATTCCGCCCCCCGCACCCTGATTTCACACAGCCATTGGCCAGCGAGCGTTGAGGGCGGGACCTCTCCAGTTTAGCCTATAGGTTCTCTGAACCGTGGGAGTGTGCCTTGAAGCAGTCAACGCGCGATCATGTTTTTTTCGTTTATTTTTTTTTAAGAGACGGAGTTTCGCTCTTGTCGTCCAGGCTGTAGTGCAGTGGTGTGATCTCGGCTCACTGCAATCTCCGCCTCCCAGGTTCGAGCGATTCTCCAGCATCAGCCTCCCGAGTAGCTGGAACTACAGGCACGTGCCACCATGACTGGCTAATTTTTATATTTGAGACAGGGTTTCACCATGTTGGCCAGGCTGGTTTTGAACTCTTAACCTCAGGTGATCCGCCCGCCTCAGCCTCCCAACGTGCTGAGATTACAGACGAGAGCCACCGCGCCGGGCCTGGTGTATTCCTTTCTAGGCGTGGAACTTCTCCCAAACTCCCACTTTGCTCCTGCCCCTACTGAACACCCACCTCAGGTTCCTGGCCTCTCAGTGCCTTGGAAACCCTTTTTTATTCCCCTTTTTAAATAGAGATGTGGTGTCGCTGTGTTGCTCAGGCTGAATTCCTGGCTTCTGGCTTCAAGTGATCTTCCTGCCTCCGCTTCCTAAAGTGCTAGGATTACAGACTCCAGCCACTGCACCTGAAATGCTTTTAACTGTGACCCATAAAATTAAGTCACTATTACAAGGTGTGGACCCAATCCACACATAAAAATCTTGAAGGAACAGATTGACAAAACAGCATTTATCCTTAATATGTAAGCAGCATTTTGATACATTTAAGCTTATTTTAGTTTCTTAAATGGTTGTAAGCCACAAAATTTTTAAAAAAATTAATAGAGATAGAGTTCCAGTATATTGCCAAGGCTGGTCTCAAACTCCTGGACTCAAGTGATCCTCCCACATCCAGATCCCATAGTGCTGGGATTACGGGCCTAAGCCACAATCAGCTCACAAAATGTATTTAATGGCCACAGCTTAAAGATCACTGACTTGATCCCTTTGTAGGTCATAAGTGTGATTGGGTTTTCATGCTCTTGTGTCAAATGTACCTCCCTCAAACCTTGATATGAAATGGGCACACTTCCTGCCTGATGTGAAAAATAAAGAGAAAAAAAATCACTGGCTCGAGAGACATTCATTGGTCTACACAGTCTTCTGAATGTTTGCTGTAGTTTTGTTTTGTTTTTTTGTTTTGTTTTCAACCTCTGTTGCCTAGGCTGGAGTGCAGCGGTGCGATCACTGCTCACTGCAGCTTTGATCTGTTGGACTCAATCGATACTCTGGCCACAACCCTCTGAATAGTTGGGACTACAGGTGTGGGCCACCACGCCAGGCTAATGTTTTAGTAAAGACAAGACCTCCCTATGTTGCCCAGCTAGTCTCCAACTCTTGCCTCGGCCTCCCACAGTTGAGGGATTATAGGCATAAGCCACAGTGCCTGGCCTGCCATAGTTTTAGAGCTAAGGAAACAAGTTGAATAAATTCCTGACGAATTACCATCATTGCAGCCTGGCTCTGTGGCTGGGCATACTACTCCAAGGGTTCAAACTGGCTGCAAGTGCACTGCTTTGATTAGGGTCTTTGAGTTATCTGAACAAATTTCAGTTTAGGCCAGGAGGGGTGGCTCATACCTCAACAATTTAGGAGGCTTAGGTGGAAGATCTCTTGAGCCCAGAAGTTCAACACCAATCTTGGTAACATAGTGAGACCCTGTCTCCACAAAAAATTTTTTAAATTAGCCAGGTGTGGTGGTGTACACTTAGTCCCAGATACTCAGGAGGCTGAGGTGGGAGAATCACTTGAGCCAGGAAGGTTGAGGCACCTTGAGCCAAAATGCCGAAATGGTGCCTTCACTCCTGTCTGGGCAACAAAGTAGACACCCTGTCTCAAAAAAAAAAAAAAAAAAAAAAAAAAAAATCATTTCAGTCATCCATCAAACACAGTGGACACCAGGCCAGGTGTGGTGGCTCATGCCTATAATCCCAGCACTCTGGGAGGCTGAGGCAGGCAGATCACAAGGTCAGGAGAGCGAGACCATCCTGGCTAACATAGTGAAACCTCGTCTTCATTAAAAATACAAAATATTGGGCCAGGCGCGGTGGCTCACGCCTGTAATCCCAGCACTTTGCGAGGCTGAGGTGGGCGGATCACCTGAGGTCAGGAGTTCAAGACTAGCCTGGCCATCATGGTGAAACTCCATCTTTAAAAAAAAAAAATACCAAATATTAGCTGGGAGTGGTGCCATGCCCCATGTAGTCCCAGCTACTTGGGAGGCTGAGGAAGAAGAATCACTTGAACCTGGGAGGCAGAGGTTGCACTGAGCTAAGATGGTGCCACTGCACTCCAGACTGGGTGATGGAGCGAGACTCCACCTCAAAAAAATTAAAAAATTAATTATGTTATATTTTAAAAAATTAAGTATAACACCAAATGTAATTATTGTGAGTATAATAAAAAAAAAAAAAAAAAAAAAAAAAAGAAATTATCCTAACACTGAGAGTGAACCCTCATGTAAACTAGGAAATTTTCTCTTCTTTTCTTTAACTTTTGCATTTTTAGTAGAGATGGGGTTTCACCATGACAACCAGGCTGGTCTCTTAACTCCTGGCCTCAAATGATCTGCGCCCAGCCGATTTAACATTTTGATACTATTTTCTCACGTGGTGAGGAAAGATGTCTAAAACGGTAATCCCAGGTAACACTAATATTTTTAGTTTTGTGTTTAAAATTTTTCACAATATAGAACAAAATGAGTTGCTTTTTTGGATCTGTGACACTAATCCTATTGCAACAAAAAGCGGTGGAATCTCTCATCCTAGATCCCATCTTGGTCTAGGACTTAGAAAAGCATTTACTAACTAAGTAGAAATTGGATATGCCCGCGGGGCTTTAAAGGTCCATTTACCACCTACTTTTCCCCGCCAGACATGGGGGGAAAAAAAAAGAATAAAAAGATAAAAAGGCAGAGTTCACGCCCAATTTTGACCTGAAGGCAGAAAGTTTCCACCTGCTTGCATTTTTGCCTCAGGTGTGACCTGAAGGAGTTGACCGCCAGTTCCCAAACAGGGCGGGGACTTCTGCCGCTCCTGGGGTAGAAGCTGAATCAATAGACCCAGGTCCTCGGTGCAGCTTCCCTCCGACGGGGATCCTCAACCTCAGGAGGGGAGCCCCGGCCTTTCCTCTGCCTGCCGGGCAGTCTCTTCTGATCCTCCGGCTCTCTCAAAGCTCCGGGGTCTGCACTGGTGCTCAGTGGCTTGCCTTCTCCATGTAGCTCCCCTGGATAGCGACGTGCCAGAGGCACCGCCCCAGGTTCCAGCTCGCGTTGCGGCTTTCCTTCGCATTTGCACCGCTGCAGGCTCCCTAAGGGAGTACACCCAACGTGGGTTTGGCAGAGCTGGGAGAAGGAACGGTCCCTCTACTCTCAGAGAACTTATTCCTCCAACTCTACCAGGCAAGGAGCCACTTTCCCACAAGGAGGCAGCAAGCACCGCATCCTTGGCTCTCCGAGGAGCGGGCCCTGATTTTGGAAAATCCGCTCCTTAGGGGTTTCACTTATCACCTGGACTATAGAGGGCGGCACTATCTTACGTTGAGCACCTACAACCTGCCAGACTCATTTAATTCTTAGAAAACTCGTGTGAGATGGATGTGGGTATCCCCAATTCACCATGAAAAAACTGAAGTCCGAGGAGCCCAGTACTTGGAAACCCCAGTAGAGGTGATGCCAAGGCTGAGTATTTTCTGGTCCACCACTTTGCCTCTCAGGAACCTGTGAGTGTACTTCCCAGGAGAAGGGGATTCGAGCCGCCATCTGCCATCCTTTTTCAAGAAAAAAGCTACGTATGGTTCCTGGCATTAGGATAGATAACTTTGGCTTTAAGATGATTTTAGAACTAACGTGTGTTCACTGTATACATTTGGAAAAATAAAAGTATTACCCAGAGATAAATTTAGTCCTTCCGAGTTTTCTTCTAGGCAAACTTTTGAGATTCTACTGTACATTCAATTTTATGCTCTGACTTTTCCCCTTAAATTTTACATAATAAACATTTCCCATGTTGTTAGACATATAATTTTTTGTTACATTCTTCGCTGTTTGTAATTTGTATTTTCATTTCGCTTTGGGGCAGGGTGAGGCATAGGATTTTTTTTCCTCACTAAAAGAAGTTTTAATTCCGTTGCTGTCAGGCCCAGTTCGGTGGCTCACACCTGTAATCCCAGCACTTTGAGAGGCTGGGGCAGGTGGATCAAGAGGTCAGGAGATGGAGACCATCCTGGCTAACATGCTGAAAGCCATCTCTACTAAAAATAAAAAAAATTAGCCAGGTTTCGTGGCACACGCCTGTATTCCCAGCTACTTAGGAGGCTGAGGCAAGAGAATCACTTGAACCCATGATGTGGAGGTTGAGGTGAGCTGAGCTTGCCACTGCACTCATTCCAGCCTGGGTGACAGACTGAGACTACATCTCAAAAATAATAATTATATAAATAGGAATACTCACATTAATCCAGGACTGCTTTTATTTGTGTGTGTGTGGGGGGGGGTTGGGTTTTTTTTGTTTGTTTGTTTTGAGACAGTTTTACTCTTGTTGCCCAGGGTGGACTGCAATGGCACGAACTCAGCTCACTGCAACCTCCGCCTCCCGGGTTCAAGTGATTCTCCTGTCTCAGCCTCCAGAGTAGCTGGGATTACAGGTGCCTGCCACTATGCCCAGCTGATTTTTTGTA